TGTCTGATTGTAGGTTCGAATGCCCGCGCGCGCGCGCGCGCGGCGGCGGCGGCGGCGGCGGCGGCGGCGGCGGCGGCGGCGGCGGCGGCGGCGGCGGCGACGACGACGACGACGCTGCTGCTGCTGCTGCTGCTGCTGAAGGTGATGGAGGTGATTGTGGTCCACCTGTGGCCCACCGCCGGCGACCTGGACCACGCCCTGGGCGACTTCTAGGTTTTTTTCGTAATTCGAGGGCCTGGGTTTCAATCCCAGGTCTCTCTTAGTCTGAAACCCAGGTCTGATGCTCGATGCCCAGGTCTCTAGTCTCTGGGTCTCTGATGCCTGACCTTCACTACGCTGCGCACGGACGCGACGTGCCCGCGACTCGTCGACCGCGACGGCTGGCTCGGCGGCTGGACCTTCGACGACCGCTTCTCCGTGGACCAGGACGGCCGGGACCTCGTGGTCACGCGCCTGCCGGAGATGGGCGTGCCCATGAGCCACGGCTGGGCCCTGGACCTCGAGTTCGTCTGCTGCGCCCAGGAGGCGCTCGGCGACGCCCGCGGCGAGAACTCGCGGAACCACTACCGCGTACTCCGCGTGCCCGTCGACTTCGCGACGGACGCGGAGCTGAAAACCGCGTACCGCGCGGCGTCGCTCGCCGCGCACCCGGACCGCGGCGGCTCCGCGGCGGCGTTCTCCGCCGTCGCCCTGGCCCACGAGTGCCTCGCCGACGTTGCGTGCCGCCGGGACTTCGACGCCGGCGCGGACGTCGGCGTGAGCCTCGAGGACTTCCGGGAGACGGTCCTGAAACGATATTTCCCCGGGCGGTATCCCTACGAGCCGCTCGGCGCGCCGCGCCACCGACCCCGCCGCTCGCCGCGGCACGAGCTGCGTGGAGCGCTAAATTAGTTTTCGAACGGGGTTGGAAAGGCCTACCTAGACTAGGTCTATACGCCTAGGTGGAGATAGGACGCGATGGCGGCCTTGATGTCGTACGGGATAGGGGAAGTGGTTGCGCGCGCGCTGCATGCAGCCGGTGTTGCCGTGTGGTTGCCGAAGCTTTTCAGGCGATGAAGGCCTGAGCAAGTGGGAAGCCTGATCAAGCGACAGGCCTGACAACAAGCAACAGGCCTGACAACAAGCAAAAAGATGACCGACTCATTCACCTTCAATTTCGTGGCGTCGGGCGCCGCGGCGCCGCGGTCGGCGCCGAAGAAGGAGACGAAGAAGGAGCGCAAGGCGCGCGCGCACAAGGCGCACGCGGCCAAGGCGTCGGCGAGCGGGCGGCCGACGATCACGATCAAGAAGGGCGTCGTCACCGTCAAGAAAGCGGAGCGCGAGGCGCCCGCGGCCGAACCCGAGGCCGCGGCCGAAGCACCCGCGGCGCCCGCGGCCGAGGCCGCCGACGCGGGCCCGCCGAGCCGGAAGAAGCGGCACGCGTGGACGCCGAGCCAGGAGTTCAGCGCGTTCCACCTGTCGCCCGCGGAGCTGACGCGGCCCCGGGGCGACGCGGCGGCGCCGGCGGCGCCGCGGCCCAAGCCCGCGCACGACGCCGGCGGCGCGCGCGCCGCGTTCCTCGACGCCGGCTACGACGACCGGCTCGCGGCCATCTGCTCGGCGCCGCGCGGCGACCGCGGCGGCCTGGGATTGGCAAAACCCACGGAGGTGCAGACCCGGGCCCTTTTGGCGCTCCGGTCGAAAAAGGACGCGCTGCTCGTCGCGCCGACGGGCTCGGGGAAGACGCTCGCGTACGCGCTCCCCGTGCTCGAGGCGCTCGCGGCGCGCAAGAAGGGCCGCGGCGACGGCGCGGGCTGCCTCGTGCTCGCGCCGACGCGCGAGCTCTGCCTGCAGATCGCCGACGTCGTCGAGGTCGTCGCGAGGAAGTACGACGTGTCGATCGTCCCCGGCGCGATCACCGGCGGCGAGCGGCGCAAGTCGGAGAAGGCGCGGCTCCGCAAGGGCCTGAGCCTGGTGGTCGCGACGCCGGGCCGGCTGCTGGACCATTTGAAATCGACGGCCTGTTTGAAATTCGACGCTTTGGACTGGGTGGTTTTGGACGAGGTCGACCGGCTCCTGGACATGGGCTTCGGCCCGCAGATCGACGACATCATCCGGCGGCTCGGCGCCAAGACCTACGTGACCGTGCTCGTCACGGCGACGATCACGGCCAAGCTCGCGGATCTGGCCAAGGCCCATTTGGGGCGGGACCACGCGCTCGTCGAGGTCGCGAAAAGGGAGACGGCGCCCGGCGCGGTGGAGACCATCGCGATGCCGGAGACGCTGGCCCAGTCCTACGCCATCTGCACGCTCAAGCTCCGTCTAGGCGCCCTCGCGGCCATGCTCCGGGACCACCCGCACGCGAAGACGCTCGTCTTCGTGTCCACGTGCGCGTCCGCGGAGTTCCACGCGGATCTCCTCAATCGGCCCGAGTGCCGCCGGCTCTGGGAGGGCGCGACCAAGGCGCCCCGCGTCGCCGGCCGGCTCCACGGGAACATGAAGCGCGACGAGCGCCGGGGCGCCTACGTCGAGTTCTGCCGCAGCGGCGCCGCCGTGCTCGTCGCCACGGACGTCGCCGCGCGCGGCTTGGACTTCGACGCCGCCAAGGTCGAGCGGGTCGTCCAGCTCGACGCGCCGCGCGACGCGGGCACCTACGTGCACCGCTGCGGCCGCGCGGGCCGCGCGGGCAACGCCGGCAGCTCGACGCTCGTGCTCCTGCCGTCGGAGCGGCCCTTCCTCGACGCGCTCGCGCGCCGGCTCCGCGCCGGCCCGCCGCGGCGGTCCGCGCTCGCGTCCAAGGCCCACTTCGACGACGCCAAGGCGACGGCGGCGGCGACGGTGCTCGAGAAGCTCGTCGCCGGCGACGACGACCTCGGCGCCAAGGCGCGCGACGCCTTCTCGGCGCACGTCCGCGCGTACGCGAGCTCCGCGTTTCGAGGCCGCGACCTGTGTGCAAATCAAATCTTCAACCCGACTTCAATGTGCGCGTATGCGAATGTTTTGACACGAGCACTTCCGCCGTGCTTCGAGAACTCGCTGAGAGCAATCGATTCGTCCAAAAATCAGCCGAATCGACTTCGATTTGACCGAGCTAGAGAATTCTGAAGTTTGGCCCCGACGTCCCAGCTCACTGGTTGATTTGCACACAGGCCGCGACGCCGCGACGGACGACGCGGAGCGCGACGCGTTGCACAAGGCGTTCCACATCCGCAAGATCCACCTCGGCCACTGCGCCAAGGCCTTTGGCCTGCGGGAGACGCCGGCGAAGATCGCGAAGCGGAGCCGCGAGGACCGCGACGACGACGGCCTCGACGCGAAGGCGCGGCGCGCGGCGGAGACGCGCGGCGGCACGAAGCGGTCGCGCAACCTGAAGAAGCAGGCGAGCTCCAACAAGGGCCACCAGTCGCGGAGCGTCGGGTCGACGGCGTCCCACCTCAAGGGCAAGGCCCACGCGGCGAAGAAGCGGAAGACGCTCTTCGCGTCCCAGGTGAGCGAGTTCGGGGCCTAAGACGAAAGACTTACGTGAGCTCCCGCCGCGCGTCGCAGCCGTAGTGCGCGGGGATGGGCTCGCCCGCGTCGAGGCGCCGCGCGAGCGCCGCGCAGAGCGGGTCCCGGAGCGCCGCGGGCTCGCAGGGCGGCCCGCCGAAGTCGCGCTGGAGCGTCTCGCAGGCCGACGGCCCGCAGCCGTCGTCGGGGAGGCCCTCGCGGCAGCGCCGCGGGTCGCGGCGGTGCGGCGGCCGCGCGCGCGCGGCCTCGTCGTAGACGCGCTGGAGCAGGAGCACGCCGCCGCCGGCGCTCCGCTCGAAGGCGCCGCGGCCGCCGTAGGCGAGGCCCGCGAGGGCCGGCAGCGTGCCCTTGTGGACGTGGTCGCGCACGGCCCACGCGCAGTGGTAGAGGTGCACGGAGTCGCTCGCCGGGTCCTCGCCTGTGTGGAAATCAACCAGTGAGCTGGGACGTCGGGGCCAAACTTGAGAATTCTCTAGCTCGGTCACATCGAAGTCGATTCGGCTGATTGTTGGACGAATCGATGGCTCTCAGCGAGTTCTCGAAGCACGGCGGAAGTGCTCGTGTCAAAACATTCGAATACGCGCACATTGAAGTCGGGTTGAAGATTTGATTTGCGCACGGGTCCTCGCCCGCGTCCGCCGCGCAGCCGCCGCGGAGCTGGGCGACGAGCGCGGGCACGGCCTCGCGCGGCGCGGACCAGAACCAGTCGCCGTGGACCTCGACGAAGGTCGCCGCGAGCAGGTCGCCGAGGCCCGCCGCGGCCAGCGGCGCGCGGTGCGACGCGTCGAACCGCGTGACGAGCACGGCGTCGTAGGCGACGCCCGCAGCCCGCTCGTGGCCCGCAACGAGGTCGAAGCCCCGCAGGACCTTGTCCGTCTGCAGGGCGCCGCGGGCGCCGAGCTCCGCGGCCGCGACGGGGCCGTACCACACCGCGAGGGCCGCGTCCCACGTCGCTCGCGCGCGCGCGCCGTCGCCGTGCGCGTCGCCCGCGTTCCGCGACGACGCGGCGTCGCCCGCGCAGCCCGCGCCGCTCAGGAAGACGTCGACGTGTCCCGCGGTCTCCAGCGGCGCGACGACGTGCGCCCGGAACTGGGCCGCGAGCGCCTCCTGCATGGCCGCCGCCTCGGGAGTGCAGCGCAGCACGTTCTTCAGGCGCTGGTTCCGCTTCTCGCCGTGGCTCCGGAACGCGTCGCCGCGCACGATGACGGCGAAGCGCCGCGCGTCGGCCGACGCCGCGGCGAGGACGTCGGCCGTCGCCGCGGCGAGGACGACGAGCATGGGCACCATGCTGCCCCACGGCGGCAAGATGGCTGCAGCACCGACCTCAATCTTGATCAATTGAGGTCTCTGAGGTGATGGCCATCTTTGCGCTGCTCGCCTGGCTGCCGGTGGCCCAGGCGTGGAGCGGCCACGTGACGCTCAAGGTCGCCGTGGACCGCTTCGGCGCCGTCGACGACCTGGGCGGCAAGTCCGGGCGCTTCACGTCGCCGGCGTCGCTCGACTGCGTGCACCGCCTGCGGCGCGGGTCCGACGCCGTGCTCGTCGGCGTCTCGACGGTGGCGCGCGACGACCCGTCGCTGACCGTGCGCCGCGTGGACCCCATCGACGACGCGCAGCCGCTGCGCGTCATCCTCGACCCGAACGGCCGCGCGCCGCGCGACGCCGCGCTGCTCACCGACGGCCTCCCGACGGCGGTCTTCTCCCGGGGCGACTTCGGCGCCGTCGACCCGGCCGTGGCCCTCGAGCCCTTCGGCGAGCTGCCGACCATGCTCGACGCCCTGGAGCGCGACCACGGCGTCGCGCACCTCATGGTCGAGGGCGGGCCGTTCACGGCGCGCGCGTTTCTCGCCGCGGGGCTCGTCGACCGCGCGGTCATCGTCCGCGCGCCCGTCGTCTTCGAACAGCCCGTGCCCTCGGGCATCGACGCGGCCCTGCTCCGGGGCGCGGGGCTCGCCTTCCACAGCCGGAGGGACGTCGGCGGCGACGACACGCACACGTGGACGCGGCCCGGCGCCGCGCCGATCTGGGCCATGCTCCTCGACGGCGCGCTCGTCGTCGACGAAACGTAATGGTGGTGTTTTAGCTTTGGGCCCATGCCTACGCGCGCTTCCAGGGCCGCGGGTCCGAGTCGACCGGCGAGCCGAAGTGGCCGTTCGTCGAGCCCGTGAAGCCGTCCATGCCGAAGGACGTCGACTTCTTCGTGCGGAGCCGGCCGATGGCGAAGGCCGCGTAGGGCGCGTCCTCGTTGTCGCCGACGCAGGCGCCGCGCAGGAGCACGCCGCGGGCGCCCGCGGCCTGCGCGGCGCGGCCCGCGTCGATCTCGCCGTGGTCCGGCTGCATGGCGTCGACGCCCGCCACGACGACGGCCTCGGGCGGCAGGTCCGCGGCGTCGTCGATGCCGTCGAGGAGGAAGTAGGGGCCCTCGCCCCGCGCCGCGAGCGCGCTCGCGTCCGCGGCGCCGCCGCAGCGCCAGATCTTCGAGACGTCGCCGCCGACGTCGACGTCGCCCGCCGCGTCGACGACGACGGCGGACGCGCCCCGGGAAATCGCCCCCGCCCGGTCCTCCGCCGCGCCGTCGAAGATCACCGGACACGGGCCGGGGAAGTCGCCGAGCGCCGTCGCCTGCTCCTCCACGAGCGCTTCGACGGTGGCGACGTCGTCGGCCCAGAGCGTCGCCGCCTTGCAGCTCGTGCGCAACTCGCGCGAGAGCTCCTTGAGCGCCGCCGCATCCGTGCCGCGCACCTGCACGCTCACCGCGAGCGTCTTGCCCGGCTTCACGAGCGCCGGCCGCAGGTCGAGCGCTGCCGCGATGCCGGCCAGCGCGAGGAGCATTGGATGTCTCATTGTGTCGAGGAGCAGCGTCGCGAACGATGCGATGGGTCGTCGAGATGTCGTCTACTGCCGCGAAGGCTGCGATGCGTCGCGTCTCAGCGTCGCGAACGATGCGATGCGATCATCATACGCAAGAGGTTGACATCAGCCCGAACTATGCAACTTGAAGGGAAACGAGTCGGTTGCCATTCGAGACGCTCACGAGACGCTGCCCCGCCGCGCCATGCGCGCACCGCTCGCGCTCGTCGCGCTCTGCTGCGTCGCGCGCGCCCAGGTCGTGCCCTACGACGGCGCGGACCGGCACAAGATCATCGTGCACAACACGGGCAGCGAGGACCTGGGCTTCTACTACCTCGGCAACGGCTACGACCCCGGGCCGGAGGTCGCCATGTGGGACGGCTCGGAGACGCTCAACGCCATCATCGAGCCCGGCGGCGAGGCGGGCCGCTACGTCGCCTTCTCCGACGCCTTCGCCCTGCGGAGCGCCGACATGCGGTGGCGCGCGCGGTTCTCGCTCTACGCGCACGACGACGACGCGCAGCCCTACAAGGTGAGCTTCTACAACATCATGGAGGAGCCCGAGGGCGGCGCCATGGAGCTCAAGCACCACGACGCGGGCTACCTCTGGATCGAGAAGGGCCACCACGTCACGCACACCGCGACGGGCGGCCACCGCTTCGAGGTCAACGACGTCGACCGCGCGCCCCGCTTCGCGCTCGAGGTCCACGTCCTCGACGAGGACGAGGTTTGAGGCTCAATTAATTCTCCGGGGGATTCGATGTTGGTCTTTCAGCGGGATTCGATGTGGTCTTTTAGGCGTCGTCGCGGCTCGTGCGCCAGTACGAGAGGATGTGCCAGAAGACCTCGTTGGGAATCGGGCGGTGGAGCTGGCGGCTCGCGAGACGCTTCGGGGTCGAGGAGGATGACGGCGCGGCGGAGAAGAGTCGCGCGAGGATGGGGTCGCGGCGTGCGATCGGAGGTCGCGCGCGGCCGCGAGCGCAAAGCAGACGTAGGCGGACGAGCTCGATACGAGGTGCTCGGATGTAGGTTTGCCACCCCCCCGCGGCACGGACGGCGGAGACGAAGTCCGCCAAACACTGATCATATGTCCCTTCCTCGCGAGCTTCTTCAAACGCATCCCAACCATCATCGTCGGCCGTCAGTTTCACGTCGGCCCCGCGTCGCACGATGAAACGCGCGCATTCCAGACGTCCACCAAAAGTGAAACAAAAAAGAGGCGTTCGCCCATCGTCAGTGCGAGCATCCACATCGGCGCCCAAATCGAGTAGTAGCGAAGCCTCGCTTGGATACGAGCATAAGTGAATCGGCATCATTCCGTCGCCGCGTCGGACGTTTATATCCGCACCATTAGAAACCAAGAGGCGAACCATATCTGACCGATCAGCTCTAGTAGTTTGGTCTCCGTACAAAGTCATGTGGAGGAGACAATGAAAATTGAATCTCATATTGGGATCGCCGCCTTCGTCCAGCCATTTCTTAAGCGCCACACGGTCCCCCCTTAGCAAAGCCTCTCCTTGCGGTGTTGTCCATCCGTTGGCGATGAACGCTTGATCCATGCTCGCGCGGGGTGTCCCTGTGTCGTGTGCCGCGCGCCCACGCGCACACTATTGCGACTCAAAAAATTACCACAAAGGCTTTGTGCGATCGAGCAAGGCCTCGCAAGCTTGGCTCCGCCCCATGCGTCGCCTCGGGCTCGCGGCATGCGTCCTGGCCGCCGCCGCGTCGACGCCGGAGCGCCAGGAACTCGTCGTCGTCCCCTGCTGCGGCATCGGGAACCGCATCGCCGTCATGATGGAGGCGTTGGCCCTGGCCCACGCCTGGTCCCTCGCGCCGTCCGTGAACTGGGTCCGGGGCTCGGTGCTCGGCGCGGCCTTCGGCGACCTTTGGGAGGCCCACCCGGCCTTCGACCGCGTCGTGGAGGTCGACGCGACGAGCGATCGCGGCAAATCCGGCGGCCGGGTCACGTGCGGCCGCGACGGCGCGGCGGCGCGGTCCGCGTCCGGCTTCGCGGAGGGCGTCGCCGTGCGCGACTTCGCGGACCTGACCTGCGCGGCGCCGGCCGGCGGGCCCGGGTCCGGCCCCTGCGTCTTCGCGAGCTGCGGCGGCCACGTCGCGCGCCAGTTCGTCGACGTCGCGCGCGCGTGGGTCCCCGACGCGCGGCCGCGGCCCCACAAGAAGCGCGTGTGGCGCGTCCCGACGAGCGACGGCAAGCTGCGGGCCGTGACCTCGCGCGACTTCTTCGAGGGCCGCGACGGGCGCAACGTGTCGGCGGTCCGCGTCGACGACGCGGCGTTCTGCTCCGCGCGCGTCCTCGGCTGGCTCGACGGCTTCCGGCCCGCCGCGGCGGTGCGCGACGCCGCGCGTGCGCCGCGTCCGTGTCTCTCCTCTGTCTCGCGCTCATCGCGCGTCTCGCAGGTGCCCGCGGCGGTCGGCGGCTACGCGTCCGGCGAACTCGTCGGCGTGCACCTCCGCGGCGCGGACCCCTGGGACCGCGGCGACGGCACGACCTGGGGCAACAAGCTCGACGTCTGCGTCGGCGCGCCGGCCTTCGCCGAGGCCGTGCTCCGCGACGCCGCGCGGCGGCGCGCGCGGGGCGAGCCCGCGACGCGCGCGGTCTACGTCGCGTCGAACGACGCCGCGCTCGTCGCCGAGTTCGCGGACGCGCTCCGCGCGGGCAGCGACGCCGCGGGCACGCCGCGCCTCGAGGTGCTGGCGCTCGACGCGGCCGCCGAGGACCGCGGCGGCCGCGGCCGCGCGGCGGGCGAGCGCGCGGCCGCCGCGGACCTCTGGGCCCTCGCGTCGACGGCCGCGGTCTTCCGGGGCTTCCACTCGACCTTCGGCCAGGCCGCCGCCGTGCTCCACAGGCGGCCCCAGTCCGTCATCGTCCACCGGGACGGCTGCGCCGGCGCGCCGCCCGCGTCGAAACGGCGGAGCCTCGACGCGCTCCAGCACTCCCTCTTCTGCCGCGCGCACGAGGAGGGCACGGGGGACGTGCCGGTGGGTGGAGTAGGTTCGTAGTATTTATTTTGGGAGGCGCCGCCCAGACATTGATCGCCGCGTCCTTCGCGTAAGCCTTCGCGTGTCGCAGCAGGCCTCGCAGCCTTGAGTCCGCTTCCGCGAGTGCCGATCTAGTGCCGGTTCCCTCAACCGCCAAGTGATCTGAGTTCGCTCCTTCAAGGTTTAGGCCTCTCGCACGCCAGACTCCGTACCAACACCGTGAGTCACCCTCCAAACACCCCCCGCTCGCATCGCCCTGAACCCCGCATCCCGTCGAACGTGTCGACTTTTGGCAACGAACTCGCCGCGCAATTTTATCTTTAGACTCGATCGCCGCAAAATGCACGCTTCGTTGCCGCCGCGGCGCCGGGAAGCACCGCACGCGCTCGACGTCCTCCCCGCGGCCCGAGAGAGCGCCCCCCCCCCCAAAAAAATCCCCCGATGTCAGCCCGCGCGCGCGTCGATCCGACTCGATCGCGCCGAACCGAACATCCCCGACTCCTCGTTCCCTTCCCTTAGCCTCGACCGACATCCCCCCGCAGATGATGCTCAAGTCCATCCTCTCCCTCACGGCCCTCGCGCTCGGCGCCTTCGGCGATCATGATATGATCGAGACCGGGACGTGCTTGGAAGAATGGTCTTACGATACGGACGGTTGCATGGACCAGCAGTATGGGTGCCCGGCAATCGCATGTGACGGGGATGCCAACCCATGGTGCTCCGCCGTGGAAGGGGGCTGGTTCTACTGCACCCCCGAGGGGCACGACGACCACGACGGCCACGACGACGAAGAAGAGTATTGCGACCTCTTCTACGACAACGCGCGGAACTGCGAGAAGGAAGGCTTGACCTGGTGCTGCGACCGCGACAGCAGCTACCCGAAGTGCGGCGACGCCTACCTCCACTGCAAGAATGAGCTCTCCAAGAAGACGGCCAAGAAACTCGCCATCGGCATCATCATCGGCATCGTCGTCGCCATCATCGTCGTCATCGCGTCCATCGTCGCCTGCTGCATCTGCTGCAGGCGCCGCGGCGCCTAAGCGCGCGACGGGGCTCGCGACCAAGCGCGCCGCGCGCCGCGCCGCGCGGGCCGTCGCTTGTCGTCAAGCGACGGCCGGCCCTTACCGCGCGCCGAGCTCGCCGAAGCCCGCGCAGAAGACCGCCGCCGCCGCGCCCGCCCCGCCGCGCGCCGCCGCCGCCGTCCGGATAAGCTCAGAGAGATCAAGGGAGGGCTCCAGGGCAGATCCAGGCCCTGGGCCGGGGGGCGTCCTGCCTGCGCATGATGCGTCGCTAAGTCAGGGTCCCTCGCCAGAGTCTTGGTCGACGCGATGGCCGGCAATCGGGAGGGGGGCGCGACGTCGTGGCAGGAGAAGAAGTTGGAGTATGAGAATCGCATGGCCCGAGCGAGGGGCAAAAAACTCGACACTCTCAAGACCTGCACGATCTGCGGCGCCGACAAGGCCAAGGCGTGCCAAGGGTGCGGCACGACGGCCTACTGTTCGACGGACTGCCAACGCATCGACTGGCGCGACCGGGGCCACCGGAAGGTCTGTAAGAAGATCCAGGCCGCGGAGGCGGCGCGGGCCGAAGCGCCGGAGCCCCCGCCGCCGCCGCCGCGGGACGTGTTCTACGGCCCCGCGCCTCGGTCGCACGCCGACGAGATCCGCGCGCGCATCGCCGCGGAACACGAGGCGGCGCGCGTGCGGCGCGAGGCGAACCCGGAGCCCGAGCCGGCGTCGGCGCGGTTTGGGTCGCGGTGCCCGATCTGCCTCGAGGAGTGGGACGTGAATGATACGGGCGTGTTTCGCGTCTGTTGCTGCCGGACGGTCTGCCAATCGTGCGAGGATAAGATCGGATTCGAGGCGTGTGCTCTCTGTCGATTACCGTACCCGGAAGATGACGCGGAAAACCTCGCGCGTCTTCGCCGCCATGTGGAGAACGAGGTGCCGGAAGCGATTACGGTTTTGGGAACTGCGTACACCTGCGGTCAGTACGGCCTCGTGCAATCCGATAAGAAAGCTGCGAAAATTTGGAAGCGCGCCGTGGAGCTCGGAGACGTGGACGCGATGGTATTTCTTGGGGAATTGTACAAGTATGGGGAAGGCGTCAAGCTGGACAAGAAGAAGGCGGAAAGGCTGTTTCGCACGGCCGCAGATCGCGGCGACGCGGACGCGCAAAACAATATAGGGGCTTTCCTTCATTCTGAGGAGAAATTTGAAGAGGCGGTCCGGTACTACGCGCTCGCGGCGGATCAAGGCTATACCGATGCGGAGCACAACCTTGGCTGCTGTTACGGGACCGGAGCAGGCACGGAAGTCGACCTCGGCAAAGCCAGATTCTGGTTCGAGCGCGCCGCTGCCAAGGGCTACGAGGATGCTATAGAGAACCTCGCGCGCCTCGACGCGCGAGTATAGCCTAAGTCTTCACGCCGCGTCGTCGCCCGAGCCCGAGATGCTGCGCTCGCGCGCGGGCGAGTCGCGCTTGGCCATGGCGTCGTCGTCGCGGCGTTCCTCTCCGCGCCGACCGTCGCGGTCTGGTGCCTCGCGTTCCTGAACGCGAAGCCAACCTGGCGCAAGGATGACGACGCCGCCGAGGGGGGCATGGAGAGCGACATGAACGCGATGCTCTAGCGGTGGGCTTAGCCCTGGGGTAAGATTTTGAGCGATTTTGCCCGCCCCCGCCCTCCGGCCACAAGCCCCTAGCTCACGTACACGAGAGATTGGAGATGGTCCCGCCGATGGACCCCGTCCTCATAAAGAAGAAGCTCGAGTATGAGGAAAGAAAGGCCCGCGCCAAGGCGCTCGCGCTCCGCTTGAAATGTACGATTTGTGGAGACAAGGCGAAGCTCAACTGCCCCTGTGGGACGACGCAGTGCGACCCCGGCGCCGTGAACGGGGGGGCGGTGCGCTCGCGCCGCGCGACGCGTCCGGCGGCGCGCGACGCGTTCCGGGGCGCAGTCACGTGCGACCCGCCAGGTACTGCTCGACCGATTGCCAACGCATCGACTGGCGCGACCGAGGCCACCGGAAGGCGTGCAAGAAGATCCGCGACGAGCGCGCGGCGGAGGCGGCGCGGGCGGAAGCCCCGACGCCCACGCCCGAGGTGTTCTACGGCCCCGCGCCGCGGTCGCACGCCGACGAGGTCCGCGCGCGCATCGCGGCGGAGCACGAAGCGGCGCGGGCGCGGCGCGAGGCGAATCCGGAGCCCGAGCCGACGTCGGCGCGGTACGGCTCGCGGTGCCCGATCTGCCTCGAGGAGTGGGACGTGAATGATCCGGGCATGCTTCGCATCTGTTGCTGCCGAAAGGTCTGCAAGTCGTGCGATGACAAGGTCGGCCGCGACGCGTGTCCCCTCTGTCGGGTACCGTACCCAAAGGGCACTGCGGAGCAGCTCGCGCGTCTTCGTCGCCACGTGGAGAACGAGGTGCCGGAAGCGATTATGTTTTTGGGAGGCGCGTACCGCCGCGGTTGGTTGGGCCTCGTGAAATCCGATAAGAAAGCGGCGAAGATTTACCGGCGCGCAGCGGAGCTCGGCGACGTGGACGCGATGGTATTCCTTGGGGAAATGTACCGCGAGGGGTTGGGCGTCAAGCTGGACAAGAAGAAGGCGATGAAACTGTATCGCACGGCCGCAGATCGGGGCGACGCGGTCGCGCAAAGCAATTTAGGGGACTTCCTTCGTCGTGAGAAGAAACTTGAAGAAGCGTTCCGGTACTACGCGCTCGCGGCGGATCAAGGCTATACCGAGGCGGAGAATAACCTTGGCTGCTCTTACATGGAAGGAGACGGCACGGAAGTCGACCCCGGCAAAGCCAGATACTGGTTCGAGCGCGCCGCTGCCAAGGGCGACGAGACAGCCACAGGGAACCTCGCACGCCTCGACCCGCAAGTATAGCCTAAGTATTCGTGCCGCGTCGTCGCCCGAGCCCGAGATGCTGCGCTTGCGCGCGGGCGAGTCGCGCTTGTCCTTGGCGTCGTCGTCGCGGCGTTCCTCTCCGCGCCGACCGTCGCGGTCTGGTGCCTCGCGTTTCTGAACGCGGCCTGCCTGGAGCAAGGACGACGACGCCGCCGAGGGGGGCATGGAGAGCGACATGAACGCGATGCTCTAGCGGTGGGCTTAGCCCTGGGGTAAGATTTTGAGCGATTTTGACGCGAGGTCGAGGCGACGCCCGTGGCACGGTAGTGGAAATCTAGTGGAGATCGGTCAGCGAGCCATCGTCGCCGCGACGCGCCCTCGTCACGGACGCGATGCGTCGGTCCATCGCCATCGTCGCGCTCGTCGCCGCGTGCGCCGCCGAGCCCGAGGACGCGGCCTGCGGCGGCCTCCGCCGGACCTGGCGGGACACGTACCGGCCGCCGACGACGAGCGCGAAGCGCCTCGTCATCGGCGCCGGCGAGGGGACGACGGGCACGCACACCGTCGCGGAGTGGGTCAGCGAGGCGCGCGACCCGCCGCTCCTCGTCGGCCACTACTTCATGGGCTACCCGAACTACACGGACCCCGAGCGGCGCGTCGCGCACAACCGGAAGTGGAAGTTCGGTCCCTTCAAGGCGCTCATGGACGCGAAGCCGCAGCGGCGCGCGACGTTCGACTTCGACATTTTTCAGGACTGGGATGGCGTCTTCGACACGCCCGTGCCCCAGCTCTTCCCCTACATCTTCGCGACGTATCCGAACGCCCGGGTCATCCTCACGACGCGCAACGGGACGGCGTGGTGGAAGTCGCGGTCCCACGGCCTCATACAGAAGCAGCGGTCGCCCGTGCCCTTCGCGTCGCTCTCGAACCGGCCCGTGCAGCGCATCATCAAGAATGAGGAGAACCCGACCGGCCAGATGCGCGGCTCGAACGCGCTCGACGCGGCGCTCCTCCTCGCGGCCCACAACGCGCTCGTGCGCTGCCTCGTGCCCCGGGACCAGCTCCTCGAGTTCGACGTCTTCGAGGAGGACGACGACGCCGTCAAGGCGAAGATCAAGGCGTTCCTGGGCTACTAATACGAGGGGGGGGCTTTGGCTGCAGGCGCGTCGTCGCGGGGGCGGGGCTGATTTCTTTTACGGCGGAAGGTAGAGAGCCGAGCGTTGCGGGGCGGGGCGGGGGGGGGGCGTGCGGCCCGCGGTCTGGCAGTCGCGGGCGGTGGGGGGAGGGGGAGCCGCGCTCAGAACATGCCCGGCTGCGGGGGCATGCCGGGCATGCCCTGCGGGGGCATGCCGTAGCCCGGCTGGGGCATGCCGGGCATGCCCATCTGGGGCGGCATGCCGCCGTTCTGGGGCATGCCGTAGGCGTTGGGGTCGACGTAGGCGCCCGGCGCGCCCGGCGGCGCCATGAGCATCGGGGGCCCGCCGGCCATGCCCATGGCCGGGTCGCCGTACATCATGGCCTGGGCCGCGGCGGCCTCGGGCGACGCCTCGTCCTCCGCCTTGGGCGCCGTGCGCTTGTCGAGCTCCTCGAGCTTGTCGTGGAGGTGCCGCGTGTACTGGACGACGTAGGGCATGACGAAGTCGACGTAGTTCGACCGCCACGCGAGCTCGATGGCCACGTCGGGCTTGATGACCTTGTAGCACGTGTAGAGCGTCGCGCAGAAGCACTCCTTGTCGCAGACGTCGACGAAGAAGCGCAGCAGGTCCTCGGCGATCTCGCTGTCGCCGCTCTCGGCGCACGTGTCGATCGAGTCCTTGTACATCTTGTCGGCCTTGGAGAGCTGGACGCTCTTCTGCCAGCGCTTGTTCTTCTTGTAGATGTAGGCGGCGATGCGGCGGAACTCGAGGAGCTCGTGCTTCTCGATCTTCTGCGCGAGCGCGATGTGGTCGAAGTTGTCGAAGTCGTCGATCGACTGGCGGAGCGCCTCGTAGTCCTCGTCGTCCGCGTAGAGCTCGTTGACGGCGTCGTTCACGGCCGTCAGGTTCTCCTTCTGCACGGCCTTGAGGTAGGGCAGCACGAGCGGCAGATTCTCGAGCTTGCGCACCTGGTGCACGCACCGCGAGTGGTCGAGGTGCGGCGTGAGCACCTGCAGGAGCCGGTTCAGGTGGAGGGGCTGCTGCTCCACGTAGAAGGCGATGGACTTGTAGTAGATCTCCGAGTTGCGCACCTTCTGGACGCAGTCGAGGAAGAGGTCGTGGCCGAACGCCGTCGCGTGCGCGATCATCGTCTTCACCGCGCTGTCGTACCTGCGCGGATGCCAAATCTTCGACCCGACTTCAATGCGCGCGTACTCGAACGATGTGGACCGGACGCTTCGGCCGTGCTTCGAGAACTCGACGAGAGCCTTCGATTCGTCCAAAAATCAGCCGAATCGACGTCGATGTGACCGAGCTCGAGAGTTCTGACGTGTGGCGGGGACCCCCCGAGCCGAAATCCGCGCCGAGTCGTGCTGCTCGTCCTCCTTGAGCAGGAACACGGCCTCGTCCCAGAGCAGGGCCTTCTCGCAGGCGCGCATGAGCTTGGGCGTGTTCATGCGGCTCCAGAAGATCTTGATGTGCTCCATGAGCTTCGCGGGCACGTATTTCGAGTAGAGCACGCCGAGCTCCGTGAAGATGCCCGAGTGCGCCGCGTCGAGGCCCAGGCCCTGCTCCATGAGCTGGATCAGCTCCATGGGCTGGCCCGCGCGCTCGTAGAGGAGCGTCAGCTCCTCGAGGTGGTCCGGGTGGACGATGATCTGGAGCCCCGCGACGCGCGCGAGGCGGAACTCGCCGACCTGGACGCAGACGCGGTTCACCTCCTTCCACGTCGACACGGAGTTGGCCTTGTGCGCCGCGTCGACGGCCTCGCGGTACATCTCCAGGTTCACGTAGCAGAGCGCCAATTTCGCGTTGTTGTTGATGGACGCGAAGAGGAGCTTCGCGGCGGAGAACAGGCCCTCGTCGAAGCACCGCTCGCCGATGGACTGGATCGACGCGACGTTCGGCGCGGCGATGAACTCCTCGAGGTCGCCGAGCATGTTCGACTTGGCGTAGGCGTAGATGAGCATGGTGTCGAGCTGGGCCTCCTTGACGTGCTTCCGCGCCATCGCGAGGAACGGCACGAGCGTCTCGTAGGAATCCTCGCGCTCCGCGGCGGCGATGACCTCGCCGTAGCACGTCGCGTCGCCGGCCTTGATGAAGGACGCCACGGCCGCGGCGATGAGGTCCTCCGCGAGCTGGGCCTTGGCGAGGCGCGACCAGACGCCGGCCTCGTTGACGCGCTCCGCGAACTCGGACGCGCGCTCGAGGTTCCGCACGAGGTCGACGAGAACGCCGACGGCCGCGACGTTCAACTCCGCGGCCGCGGCGGCGTCGGGCGCCGCCTTGGCGAACTTCGTGTAGATCACGAAGCCCTCCTCGTACAGATTGTACTGGTCCGACGCGGCGATCTTCGCGATCTCCGGGCCGTCGAAGTTGTCGAGGCGGTTGACGTACTCCATGACGCGCTCCTTGTCCGCCTTGATGGCCGTGAGGATCAGTAAATTCTGCAGGTTCTTGTTCTCCGAGAAGTCGCTGCCCTGGAGGACGATGCGCTCCAGCAGCTCGATGAGCTCGTGGGGCAGGTCCGCGGCCATGAACGCCTTCACGGACGTCGACACGTGATCGGGGTCGCGCGTCTCCGGGAGCGCCGTCTGCACGACCTGGTCGATGAGCGCGCGCCGGTTCGCCTCCGACGCGTCGCCGACGGCCTCCTCCGCCGGCGGCGTCAGCACGGACGCCCACAGCTCCAGGTCCTGCTTCTCGACGAGGTAGCGCGCCTGGTCCTTGAACAGGCCGTTCTCCGTCGTCACGCGGATGAGGTCCGCGTCGCACTCGCCGCCCGCGCGCTTGTAGGCGAGGAAGGCGAGGGACGGGTCCAGCTTCTCGCAGTACTTGCCGAGCACGCGCGGGTCGTAGTACTGGTCGTTCGTGAGGAACGACACGGGGTCGCGGTTCAGCGTCACGTAGATCTTGCCGATGGCGTTGTGCGTGCCCGTCTCCTGGTTGCCCGTGGCGATGCGCGCCTCGAGCCAGGGCTGGAGCAGGCGCAGGCGGTTGCGGTGCTCGACCTGCTCCACGAGCTCCTCGACGGGGCACGCGTGGCCCACGGAGTTCAGCAGCCCGCGCACGAAGTCCTCGTTGCAGTCCAAATCCAGGAGCTTGCCGACGACCATGGGCGTCTTCTGGGGGCTCACCTTGTTGCAGTAGACCTCGATGTACTTCTGCAGGTTGTTGCCGTACAAATAGGCCGTCATCTCCTCGATGAAGTCGTGGCGGTCGCAGACGTGGATCAAAGGCCGCGGGTCCGGGAGCTTCATCTCCATGAGGAACTCCTTGACGGGCTGGGGCTCGTAGACCGTCGAGTCGCGGCAGACGCGCTCGACCTCCTTGTACTGCTGGCACTTGGCCGCGGCCTCGATGTACTTGTAGTGCACCGTCGCGTCCTGGCTGAAGTTGACGATCTGCCCGAGGTAGTAGAACAAACCCTCGTAGCACTTGAAGGACTCGAACAAGTCCACGAGGGGCTGGGCGCCGATCTGCTCGTTGTACTTGGCCGCGACCTGCGTGACGATCTGCATGTTGCCGCGCATGTTGCGGGCCAGGAGCTCCTTGAGGCACTCCAAGGACGCCTCGGGCGACAGCGACCCGAAGTAGCTCAGCACGAATTCCGGGTTCAGAGCCTGGGGGTTCGCGCACATGGCCAACAAGCTCCGCTTGATGTCGTCGACGTCCGTGTAGTGCTCCAGCGCGCGCTGCGACAGGCCCGCGGCCTCGCAGAGCTTGGCGACGTACTGGCGGTCGTAGTGCGTGAACATGGCGTTCTGGAGGATCGCGTCGGCGACCTGGGGCGACCCGCCGCGCAGGTTGATCTCGAGGAGCTTCGTCTGGAGGTAGCCCTCCTCGGGCTTGTTGCCCTTGAGCGCTTCCAGCAGAAACGCGGTCGTCTCCTGGATGCGGTTCGCGGCCATGAAGATCTCGACGACGGAGTTCGGGTCCACGAGGGACCCCGCGGCGAGCTGCTTGGCGAAGTCGAGGGCGCCGGGCGGGTTCGCGCGCACGAGGTTGCCGAGCATGAAGCTGTAGTCGCAGCGGTAGCCGACCTTGGTCGCGTACGCGGCGATCTTGTCGAACTCGCCACGTTGCAGGAAGCAGTTGATCGCCTTCTCGGGCACGTTCGCGCGGAGGTAGACGGACAGGGCCATGTTCACGTCATTCTGCATGACGAGGTCGCCGAGCTGCTCCGAGCACTCGAGCTTGTCCTCCGTGAGCCACTTCTCGAGGAACTGCGTCCGGCCCTGCTGGAGCACGGGCTTCGCGAGCTCCATCGACTCGAGCGCGTTGAGCTTGCCCTTCTCGAGGAGCATGTGGAAGTACTGGAAGACGGGCTGGGGCTGGCCCGGCTGGCCCGGGATGCCCTGGAAGCGCTGGATCGTCTCCGCGGTCCGGAGGAGGCCGCTCGGCGACTCGGACGCGAGCTTCGCCGCGCCCGCGACGTCGCCGCCGCCCAGGAGGCGGTTGAACTCGGCCACGTAGAGGTCGTCGGCGCCCGGCAGGTTCAGGCGCGACGCCAGGGCGATGCCCAGCGCGTTGTCGCGGAGCGTCGACACGACGTAGGGCACGAGCGTCTGCTCGTTGAGCGACACCTGGAGCAGCTGGCCCTTGCGCGCGGTGATGCCCAGCAGGCCGCCCGTCGCGGAAACGCCGCAGGTCACGAACACGGTGTCCGTCGTGATGCGCGCGCGGTAGAGCGCCTTGCCGCTGAGGCAGTCGAAGAGGTAGAGGTAGCCCATCTTCGTGACCATGTAGACGACGTCGTGCTTCGGCGAGGGCACCATGGACACGGGGAAGTCGTTGGGCGCGTCGGCGGGCACGGGGATGGCCACGGGCGCGAGGCGGAAGACGCCGCCGGGCGCGTCCTTGTCGCGGCCGACCTCCATGACGAAGAGCTTCGCGGGCTGGTCCGCCTTCTTCTCCTCGAAGATGAGCACCTGGGCCGGGTCGCTCCGCCCGGGCACGGCCATGGAGTGGAAGCAGCCCGCGTGGCCCTGGAGCGTCTGCGACACCTTCTTCTCCACGCTGTAGAGCTGCATGTTGCCCTGGATGACGCCGCCGGCCGCCTGGCTGATGCCCATGAGGAGGCACCACTTCTCGTCGGGCGACACCTGGTAGTTGATGACCTGCGTGCCCTCGCCGAGGGACGCGTGGCGGTCGAGCACCTTGACGGGCTCCGACGTGCCCTCGATGGACCAGTGGAACACCGCCGTCGGCGTCACGAGCGCGATGTTGTTCGGCGACGTCCACCGCCAGAAGACGACGGTCTCCGTCATGTTGTGGCTCTTCATCTTGGCCCGCAGCTCGAGGTTGAAGATCTGGAGCTGGGTCCCGGCTGCGCGCGGGGGGGAACGGAGTGAGGCGCGCGCGCGCGCGACGCCGCGCGTCCGGAGGACGCGGCGTGCCGGACCGCGCAGCGCGAGGACCTTGGACACGGGGTTCATGATCGCCGCCTCGGCGGACATGGGCCGCTTCGTCACCTGCGGCGGACTGCCCGACGCCAGGTCCACGATGAACACTTGCGGCGAGCCGGAACTGTTGTCGCAGACCGAGATGAACTTCTCCGACTCCATCGCGCATGACTACGGAAGGCGCGCGTGAAAAACTGCGCGGTGGACGGCCGGAGGCCGGGGACGCCGCGCAGACGCACCCCGAACTTGATGGAGCCCGCCGAGACGCCGAGGCTCGGAAGCTGCGAAAGGAAACGCTCTCAGTAACATATTTCGGCGGCGCGCGCGCGTCACGTACGTTCAGGACTTCTGAGAAATTCACCGGGATCGCCGCCATGATGGACGCGCGCCGCCGGCGGGCGCTACAGCCTCGGTCTTAGGCCGAGCTCGTGTCCGCGAGCCGACGTCCTATCGTGCGCCGCGATGCCACTCGATGCGGAGGCGCGGCGAGGTTGCGCGATGAGCCGGCAGGGGAATCTTGGGGCTAGGAATTCCTAGCTAGATCTAGGCGACGCCGGAGTTGCGGCAACTGAGCTCTAGCGCTAGCGCTCCCGCGACGACTCCGCCAGCCTGTCTTTACCACCTAGGGCAGCACGCAGACCTCCGCGCGCGGCGACCCGTGGAGCGCCCGCCCCATGGCCGCCGCCCGGGCGCAGAGGGCGTCCGGGTCCGCCTTGACGTGCCTCGGGAGCTTCGCGGCGCGGCGGCCGCCGTCGCAGGGCAACACGACCGCGGCGGACGCGGACATGGACGGGACGCGCAGCGCGGCGACCTCCCTCGGGCTCGGGAGCTCCGTCTCCGCGCAGGGCGCGAAGCGCTCCGGCGCCGCGCTGCCGAGCATGGCCCGCAGGCAGGGCCACGGCGCGAGCGTCGCGTTGAGCTCGTCGAAGTTCACGAGCAAGTCGCGCAGATCTTCCGGCGTGAGCTTCACGAGCTCGTCCGTCGCCCACGCGTCGGGCACGGGCACGCCCAGCGCGCCCAGCAGCCGCGCCATCTCGCCGGCCTCGTCGACCTGGAACGCCTCGTAGTGCGCCGCGTACGACACGTCGACGCTCTTCAGCTCCAGCTTTAGCGCCAACCTTCCGAGCGCCTTCTCCGCGGCCTTCAAGAGCAGCCGCGTCGGGTGCACGTAGAGGAAGGACCGCGGCGCCGCCCGCGCCTCCAGGCTGGCCTCGTCGCGGTGGCCGTGGTTCGCGAGGTACGGCGACGCGCAGTCGAAGTGGTGGTTGTGCTTCAGGTAACTCAGCGCGTGCTTGACGCTGTTGTCGCGGTCCCAGGACACGACGGCGAGGTCGGGGATGCGGCGCTTCAAATCCGCGTGCCAGGCGCGCCGCGCGACGGCCTTGTTGAGGCACCACGATCGTTTGCCGTCGCACTTGTCGTGGTAGTCGTCCGCGGGGTCGTCGGGAATCGCGCCGACCGTCGCGACGCCCGCGCAGGCCGCCGGCGCTTCGGCGGCGCAGGCGCCGCGGCAGTACTCGCCCCACTGGCAGCCCGTCTCGTTGGCGCGGATTTGCCTCGGCCGCGGGCCGCCCTTGCCGCACGTCATGCACCGCTCGTTGCCGAAACCCGCGCCGGCGCGCGCGTCGCGCGCGAACATGCACCGGCAGCCCGCGTCGTAGAGCGCCGCGAGCGCGTCGAGGCGCCGCGCCGGCGTCGCCTGCGGCGCGCCCGTGGGCAGGCAGCAGCGGCCGGCGCAGAGGCCCCCGTCCTGGAAGAAGGTGCTCAAATTGGACGCGGCGAGGTTCACGGCGATCCAGCGGCTGCCGGAGTGGCCCGACGCGCGCTTCACGTAGACGGAGCGTCGCGCGGCGCTCGCGAAGGCGACGAGCAGCAACGCTGCGCGCTGAATTTGGGGCTCCATCGTGAAAATATTTTGCTTCAAGTTGAGGAACCGAGGTCGTCGTTGACCTTTCTGCCTCAGCGCATGGGCGTGGCTCGTGCGTGTGGAAGACGCAACTGATACCGGAAATGCCGGCCTTCCGCCCCTACGCCGTGGCGCTGGACCTCGACGGCACGACGCTCGACGACCGCCACGAGCTCGCGCCGCGCACGAAGCGCGCCGTCGCCGACGCATTGGAGAAGGGCATCAAGGTGATCATCGCGACGGGCCGGCCGAGCTACTCGACGCAGCGCTTCGTCGACGCCCTGGACGCCGCCGTCGTCGCCGTGACGTTCAACGGCGCGGGCGCCGCGGAGCTCCGGCCGCGGAAGCCGCCGCGGCGCGTCTTCCAGACCTTTTTGGACGTGCACCGCGCGGCGACGGCCGTCGAGGCCGCGCTCGCGCTCGGGTGCTGCGCGTCCCTGGTCCTCCCGGACCGCGCCGTCGCCGTCGCGCCGACGGCGAAGCAGCGCGAGCTGCTCGAGACGTTCGTCGCGCTCGAGGGGTCGCCGCAGGAGATCGTCGAGGACTGGGCGCCGTACCGCCGGGAGACGGTGAAGGTCCTGGGGCTCTGCGACGACCCGGCGGCGACGGCGAAAAATGCGCGAAAGGCGCTCGGCCGCCACAGCGGCATCGTCGTCGTCGCCGCCGAGGTGCACGTCGAATTCCTCGCGGAGGGCGTCAACAAGGCCGCGGCGCTGCGCGAGCTCCTGAGCGAGCCGGAGCTCGCGCGCACCGTCGCCTTTGGCGATTCGTTCAACGACGTCGAGATGCTCGCGTGTTGCGGCGTGGGCGTGGCCGTGGCGAACGCGAAAGACGAAGCGAAGGCGAGCGCGGACCGCGTGTCCGCTTTCACCAACGACGACGACGCCGTCGCCAAGGAGCTCGAGCTCCTGACGGCCCTGCCCGAGTTCGGCACGGTCGCGTTCCTCGGGAGGCGGTTCAAGGCGGGCGCGGCGCTGCGCGCGGCGGCGGGCTGCGTCGCCGGCGGCCTCGCCGCGGCCGCGGACGCGACGGCCGCGGCGCCCCTGAAGCGCCTCGTCACCGTCGCCCAGACCTCCCGAAGGCCGCCGCCGGGCGTCCTGTCGTCGTTCAAGGCGCTCTACGCGGCCGAGGGCGCGCGCGCCTTCTGGGCGGGGCACCTGACGCAGTGCGCCAAGACCTTCGCGAAGCAGGTCGCGCGGTCCGCGAAGCAGGCCCTCGCCGAGGCCGACGGCGCGAGGTCGAAGGCGCGGCCCTGGCGCCTCTCGCTCGGCGCGGACCTCGCGGCCGCGGCCGCGTCGTGCGCGCTGGCG